CTTATAATTTAAAACATATCTACGCGTAGATCATGATGTTCTGTTAGAATCGCTAAAAACTGTTTTCCAAAATTCGCAGCGGGTAGTGTACAGCATCGATTTCTGTGGAACCCAGTAGCTGTCAAAACTTTCACATTTTTACGAATAACTCGGAAATCGTAAATTTTTCAGGTAAAACGTTTGACACAAACTTAATTAAATTTTGACGACAAATCTGAAAATGAATGAAAAAAGGGGCGGTTCCATTTAAAAAACCAAAGTTGGTAACTACCACACGTTTATGATACACCCCGTATATTGGAAAGTAATTTTAAAATGTGGACCTTTTAAACATGAAAAACTTTCGTAGGACGTATTTTCTTGTAAAGTTCATATTTACTGAGATATCGCACTTTGACGCACTAATGAGCAACCCTGTATATAGAATACGGAATTTTCAAAGCTATATTTTTTGTGAGGCTCAATATTTTCTCTTAAGCTTTCCAAGAATATTTGCTCAGTATACATTTTCAAATGCTTCAATTGGATTACAAAGAAAAATTATTAGGATATGTAATACTCATTTTCAAATTAATACAACAGTTCTCCATGTACAGGGTTATTGATTGAACTTTGGCCACCCCGTTTTTGCATCTGATTTGAAATTTAGACAAAAATGTTAAATACAAAAGTTGTAGACACTAACATCTAGTTTATTTTAAGATAATACCAATTGATACAGGGTGTTTCAAATTCAAGTGGCAGACCAAACTTTCCGTTTTCTAAATGGAATGCCGTACTTTTATTGCATATTCGGGATATTCGTAAAATTCTAGGTCTATTCGATATGAACCTTCTATATTGATGCTCAACTGTTTTTGAGTGAATAACCAATATTAATGGAATTTTGGCCAGCTCGTTTTAACATCTAATTTGAAATTTAGAGAAAAATATTACATGCAAAAGTCTTAGATATTAACGTCTAGTTTATTGTAAGATAATACTAATTGATACAGGGTGTGTCAAACTCAAGTGGCGGTACAAACTTGCATTTTTTTAAATGGAATCGCGCCCTTTTTATTTCATATTGGAACTATACGCAAAATTTCAGTCCTCTTGGATATAAACTTTCAATATTGATCTTCAACTGTTTTTGACTTAATAACCATTTAAATATTCGGGCATTCCATTTATAAAAATTTAAGTTTGGTCAGGCACTTGCATTAGCGACACCCTGTAGCAATTATTATCTTAAAATAAACTAGATGTCAATATCTACAACTTTTGTATATAATATTTTGCTCTAAATTTCAAACGAGCTGTAAAAACGGGGTGGCCAAAGTTCAATCAATATTGGTTATTAACTCAAAAACAGTTGAAAACTTTTATACAACATTAATATCGAAAATGCTTAGAATTGTGCGTATAGTTCGAATATGCAATAAAAAGTACATCATTCCATTTAAAAAAACGTAGGTTTGGTCTGCCACTTGAATTTGAGACACCCTGTATCAATAGGTATTATCTTAAAATAAACTATACGTTAGTATCTACAACTTTTGTATTTAACATTTTTCTCTAAATTTCAAATTAGATGCTAAAACGGGGTGGCCAAAGTTCAATCAATAACCCTGTACATATATTAAACGATATTTTCTTTTAAACACTCCACTTACTTAGGACGACTTTACGGTAAAACTAAAGCTAAGTGTAGAGACCTGGTAGATTTCAAAATCAATTTGAATGCATAAAGCTTTCACATTTTCAACAGCATCTCTAAGTAATGCTTGTTCTGCTTTATTCGTACGAGAGAAATTGGATAAAATACGTTGAGCGCTTGGGAAAGTTTGAAAAAATGGCTTAAGTGTGGGAAACGAATGATTTAGTAAAAATATATTTTTCATTTTAGACGTTTCACATTATTATTGTATTTTGTGGCAGTTTTTCATCAATGCCATCGTTTGAATTTGTAATTGATTTCCATTTTAACTTGAAATTTATACATTTTTTCTAGGACATGGAACTAGTCAATATTGTGAAACACTCGGTAAACCAGCGTAATTGGCTTTGAGAGCTTTTGAGTAATTACCCTTTTTGTATTTTATGCTCTCAACCGCCACTAGTTTTGTCAATAATTCGAAAATAAATTATGGTATACCAAAGCATATTTTATGATCGTTCGCCTTTATGACTTTTTGATACTCTTCGAAACGTCTCTACGTTTTAATCTTTAACTGAACAAATAACCTTTTTACCTGTGAAAGCTTCGCAAAAAAATTTACAGTTTCAGGAGACTCTAGAAAGGGCAATTTATGAAGCATATATAAATAGTAAAGGGTTGAGATGTGTATTAAATGCAAGTTAGTGCACTTTTAAATTTTTAGGACTGATAAATATGGCGGAAAGGATTATGTGATTTATTAAGAAAGGGAATGTTAAAGACTAAAAACTTTAGTTACGCATTTTTTATTGTTGTTTGTCACTGTTTCTACTTTTCACCTACCCTTTTCTATTTTAACATAAAATTGTTGTCAAAACTTCTATGTTTTATTATGTATTGACGGTTTACGTGCTTCCCAAAGTTTACCACTTATTTTCGAAACGCCTTATACATCCAGTGTCGACGTGAAAATTAAATGCAAAATTTTCTGGAATTACTTCTGCACAAGTCGTACGATATAACAAACTTTCGCAATTGGGAGTCTTTTGGATCGAGTTCAAATCTATTCTTAGTTTTGTAGTTTTGAGATATTTAAATTGAAAAACACTTTTTTACATCTCACAGCATGTTTCATGTTACGCTACAAAAATGTACACTGGACGAATGTCGATATTTTGTGTTTTTCGATATATTCCAATAAATAGAACTGCCTAAATTGAAAGAAAACACCCCCACAAATCACATTTGCGAATCAAGAATCTCCCGATATAGAACGTTTCTGCACATTAACTTTGAGTTGGGAGTTATAGCGCTCTGCCGGTATTTCGAACTAGATTTGAACAGAAGGCAATCGAATCCAATATTTTCTAGAATATTTTTAAACTTATTGACGAAAATTGCCGTGAATTTTATGATGGATTCTGCTGATTATGACAGACATCCAAGTACTAAATGATTTTTTTAAATTGTTAGTTACAAAATCTAAATAATGCTATTGATTGAGAGGACAACAAATAAGATCCTAAAAGTGAATGCTATGGATGGGCCGCTCAGAAGTCGTGATTTCAACTCTTTCGATTTCTGGTTTTGAAGTCAAATCAAACCAGTTTTTCGCAAACGTTCTATATGCAGAAACTAAGATTGAAGCAAATATGATTTTAATGTTGTTGACTGTTTTGTAACTTCAATAAATTATCTAAACTGGGAGGGTGATATGTTTTTATGCTTAATAATATAAATTTTTATTGTTTGTTTTCATTCGCATTTTTATATGAATATTTTGGTTGCTCATTCTTACTTCTACTTCTACTTAATAGAATTTATTAAACCCAAGAATATTAACTAAAACTGATGCGAAATATGTACTTTCATCAATTTTAAATGCTTGCATAAAATTTCTTACAGAGACCTTAAGAGCAAAAGAACATTAATTTACTGTGGTACGAAATTAACTATTAATTAACTATTGGGTACTTGTGCGTCCAACGAATCCTGAAGTGCAAGATTTTGCGGCATTTCGTGGCAATATGACTAAGAATTATTCAGCAAACTTGCATAGTTCTTTCATTAAATTATTTTTTTTTAAACATAGTAAGTAGATTAGAGGCGAAACGTCTTTTTGTCCCACCCACACATGACACAATGACCGCATTTGCCAGTCTATTCCCTCATTAATGGATCTAAATTATTTTCAGTTGCTTGGGAAGAACATTTAGAGAACTCGAGTAACTCTTGGGAAACGATCTACCATTGTCTTGAATGTGCTCCCGGATGCCACTATTGTACTGACCCATCTCCATGTTTAGCCACCTATAATTGGCCAATCAGGTAAGTTTTAGAATTCTTCAAATTATACCCGAATTTTATTATGCATTTTTTTTTATAGAATCACGTTTCTGTCTGTGAGTTGCTGGTGTGCTTTCAGTTCACTAGTCCTGATCATTTATGTGTATCACTATCGTAATGTAAAAGTGTTTAAAGCCGCCAGTCCTGCTTTTCTATGCATTACACTGCTTGGATGTGCTACTATGTACCTTGAAGTAAGTATAAAGTTTCAATCGCTACCATAATTTATCAAGATATGATGGGCGTTTTACTAAATATGGATTTTAAATGAAATACTATTCAACAAAGTAACACCCACACATCAATCCAATATTTTGTCGATTTTTTATTTACCTTTAGTTCAAACTCGCTGCTCGCTTGGTGTGAAATTGAAAATCTATTAAAAACCCCTTGAAAATGTGTTTAACATGGTCGTCAAGTTATGAAGCTGGTTAATTCTTCATGTGGAACTATTAATGTGGAAATCAATTACAGAACAACCCAAGGGACTTTTCAAATAATTTTTAAGCACTTTTTATTATTCAATAGAAACATAAATAAATACAGAATAGAATATACGGCGAAGATCGGCGCGCTATGTTCTGTGCAATTCTGATTTCTAGGATTGGGTGTATGCTAGAAATAAGCGATGCTTTAGAAATTAAACTCAAATCTGTTTTCTAGTTGAAGCTGTTTATGCGGCATTAATACTACGTTATCTATCCGATTAGATCTCTCAATTTTTGCTGCCAAAAAATATTTTTTTAACGTCAAGCTGTGATATGAAGTTCCAATATTCGTTAAGCAAAGTTGAGCAGCTCTGTGATATTGTGCAGTTTTGTGAGCTCGTGTAACGATTAGGCATTGACATGCAGATATTTATATCAATGCTCTGGATAATAAATTACTTAAGCAAAAGTTATTTAGGGCCCTAAAAAACCACAATTTATGAATAAGTTTCATTAGAATGTCTTAGTTTTTTCTGACAATTATTTTTTATCACCTGCAGTTGAATCATGCCAATTTTGATAAGAATTTGATTAATATTTCATGAGCGCTCCATAGTTTGTGAGTCAATTTTCTCGTAAATAATTTTTTAAGAGATAAATTTATATATTGAACTTGTTGTTTTTCAGTTTGGTGGTGTATATTTAAATTACAGCACGTTTCTTTAAGTCACATTATTTACTGTTTAGAAATGCGGAAAAGACGTACGGCTTAAAGAAACATTTTTAAAATGGCAATATGAAAGAAACTTAATAATCACATACTTACAGGTCACGCATAAAAAGAGAAAATCTGTAGAAGAACTCAAATATTTTTTTTTGTGAAATTGAGCAGGAGAAATATAAATGTTATTCTATAGAGTACGCCTTCGAGTAAATAAGCTATCAGAAAATATGTTAATATTTGGTTTAAAAAATCAGCAGCTCCAATATTTAAAACCGGACCTGAAATAATTCTCATTTTAATATTTCAACCTTTTCGCAGTTTCGTGTGTCGCTCCACTTTCGAAATCTGCTTGACAATCGTCCCTTTCAAATACTTGAATTGCGGATTGATTTTTTTTAAATCAAGATTTTCGTTTCGTTTTCATGTGCAAACATTGAATTTTAAATGGAAATAATTGATTTGAATATATATA